ATAATAACTATACCTTAAATAATTTAAACTTAATTAAAAGATTAATTAAGCAAATTAATTTCGAACCAATAAATGAGAAAAATCTGTATATTAAAACGAGGGCGGACCTTTTATTATAGAGGCAGGCCGGACCTTATATGTTATCGTATTAGGTCCCCCCGGACCTTTAAACGAGGCGGACCAAATATTATGCGACATCCGGCCCATTGGGGCCTCGGTGATACCCAGGCCCCTCGCAATATAAAAGCGCTCCTTTAATGCCAAATCTTGGATCAACGCCTGCAAGACATAACATCAGACTTCTGAATTTACAAGGAATACATTCTCAGATTTTCTTATAAAGTCTTTTACTGGAAATATATCACTATACCATTTTTGTAAAAATTGGTCTTTAAGCTTTTGGTTTATTGTAGTCGCAACCCATTTAACACTATGAAAATTTTAATCATTTCAAACATTACATAGTCCTGCAGTGTTAAGAATATTCTGTATGCAAGATATCCATGGATTATTGATTCCATTTTTGGTATATTTATTATAAAGATGTAAATAAATAATTCTACAAATCTTATTCTCATTTCCACGTGACAGTTTCCCCCAGAAAGATATCATTCTTGTATGAATACGTACGTGCATCGGGTAAACGTCCAGTCTCCCCGTATACCATAAAACTCGGTGTACTAGATTTTAGGTTTAAAATATATTTCAAAAATCTTAAATGTAGACGTTCAATAATATCAATATTATCAAATCCCCATATTTCGCACCCATATAACAAAACAGGAACAACAACTTTATCAAACAAATCTAGCTGACAATCAAAAGGTAGATTATATAAACGAATTTTTAGGTCACCTGAGTCACTCAGGTGACCTATTGCTGTCCGTTCTCGTCCGTCGGCGTGCGTCGTGCGTTAACATTTGAACATTTTTAGCTTCTTCTCTATAACCGCTTAACCAATTTCAACCAAATTTGGCATATAGCATCTATGGGTAAAGGGGAACAAAATTTGTGAATTTCATGGTCCCTGCCCCCATGGGGCCTGAGGGGTGGGGCTAAAACCACCAAAAATAATGCAATCTTTAAAAATCTTCTTCTTTACTCCCGGACATCAAGCAGTCAAACTGTTGGCATCATTGTAAAAAGCATTGAGCCCTCTACCAAAATTGTGAAATTCATGGCCCCAGGGTCAGGGGTTCTGGTGCTAGGGTGGGGCTATATAGATCATATAGTGAAAGTGCATTATTTCTTTGAAAATCTTCTTTTCTGCTCCTGGGTATTAAATAAGGTAACTAAGTACATAGTTATGATGAGCAAGAGTGCCTCTTCCAAAATTTTGAAATTCATGGCCCCAGGGTCAGGGCTTCTGGTGTTAGGGCGGGGCTCTGTAGATTATATAGTGAAAATGCATTAATTCTTTGAAAATCTTCTTCTCTGCTCCTGGGTATTTAATAAGGTAACTAAGTACATAGTTATGAAGAGCAAGAGTGCCTCTTCCAAAATTTTGAAATTCATGGCCCCAGGGTCAGGGCTTCTGGTGTTAGGGCGGGGCTCTGTAGATTATATAGGGAAAATGCATTTATTCTTTGAAAATCTTCTTCTCTGCTCCTGGGTATTAAATAAAGTAACTAAGTACATAGTTATGATGAGCAAGAGTGCCTCTTCCAAAATTGTGAAATTCATGGCCACAGGGTCAGGGGTTCTGGTGTTAGGGAGGGGCTCTATAGTTTATATAGTGAAAAAGCATTAATTCTTTGAAAATCTTCTTTTCTGCTCCTGGGTATTTAATAAAGTAACTAAGTACATAGTTATGATGAGCAAAAGTGCCTTTTCAAGAATTGTGAATTTCATGGCCCCAGGGTCAGGGGTTCTGGTGTTAGGGCGGGGCTCTATCGACTATCTAGTGAAAATGCATTAATTCTTTGAAAATCTTATCTGCTCCTGGGTATTAAATTAAGTAACTAAGTACATAGTTATGATGAGCAAGAGAGCCTCTTCCAAAATTTTGAATTTCATGGCCCCAGGGTCAGGGGTTCTGGTGTTAGCGCGGGGCTCTATTGACTATATAGTGAAAATGCATTAATTCTTTGAAAATCTTCTCCTCTGCTCCTGGGCATTAAGATGATAAACTAAGTACATAGTTATGATGAGGAGGTGGGCCCCTTCCAGAATTGTGAAAGCCATGGCCCCTGGGTCAGGGGTTCTGGTGTTAGGGCGGGGCTGTATTGATTATATAGTGAAAATGCATTAATTCTTTGAAAATCTTCTCTGCTCCTGGGTATTATTTAAACAAACTAAGTGCATGGTTATGATGCATAAGGATGCCTTTTCAAAAATTGTGAATTTCATGGCCCCAGGGTCAGGGGTTCTGGTGTTAGGGTGGGGCTCTATTGATTATATAGTGAAAATGCATTGATTCTTTGAAAATCTTCTTCTCTGCTACTGGAGATTATTTAAACAAACTAAGTGCATGGTTATGATGCATAAGGATGCCTTTTTAAAAATTGTGAATTTCATGGCCCCAGGGTCAGGGGTTCCGGTGTTAGGGCGGGGCTCTATTGATTATATAGTGAAAATGCATTGATTCTATGAAAATCTTCTTCTTTGCTACTGGAGATTATTTAAACAAACTAAGTGCATGATTAAGATAGGCAAGGATGCCTCTTCCAAAATTTTTAAATACATGGCCTCAGTTTTTGGGGTTCTTGAGGGGGGGGGGGAGGGGGGCTCTATTGATTATATAGTGGAAATGCATTAACTCTATTAATTAATCATTAACTAATCCTGTCTGAACCTTAGTGTTGAGCTGATAAATAAATTGCTTAGCTATGATGAAGATGGGAGCTTCGAACAGAATTTTTAAATCTTGTGGTCCTAGGGTCAGGGGTTCTGGCATAACGAGGAAGGGGGGGGGGGGGCTTTTGATAATATAGTGGAAAAGTGTTAATTCTTTGAAGTCCATAGTTATGATGATGAGGGTAACTCTTCCAAATTTGTAAATTTCTTGACCTTTGGTCTTGGGTTCTGGTGTTAGGGTAAGGCTTTGTTGAATCTGTAGTGAAAATGCATTGTACCTGTGAAATTCTTCTCTGCTTCTGGGCATATTGGAAGCAAACTGAGTAAAGTTTAAATGATATAAGTAAGCGTATTTCTACCAGATTTTTGAACATCTGGACAATTTGTCTAAGCATTCTGGCCCTGGACAGGGCTCTATTAATTTGTATTCTACTGAGAGAAGTTATTCCCCTTTTCCATTCACCTTTGATAATTAATCACTGTAAATAATGTATTTGAAAGATTAATAGAATAAGACAATTATGCAAGAATTTTTATCGTATAATTCAAAAAGTACTTTCTTAGTTTTAATAATCAGGCAGACCTGTAAGTAATAGATAAATAAAAATGAGACAAAAATAACTTATTTTATTAAAAGTTCTTCAAAGATCATAAGAGAGGTCAATGCTAGAGGTCTTAATATGGGTTTAAAAATAGTACAGAAGCACTAATAGTTTGTTAATAGTCTGCATGGTGATAGTGTTAAGTGGGGGACAGATTAGAACTTAAGTTATGAGTTGATACTGAATACTAGACTAATTATTTTGTTGATCCTGATCTTCCTACTTCTCTTGTTTTAGGGCAACAAAGCTTCATCTATCAGTGTATTTAACTTCTAAATTGTTGTATTATACTCAGGTGACTGTTAAGGACCTTGGGCCTCTTGTTCTTATAATGTCGTACATTGCCTTTTGTGCTTGATTACATAAGTGTTTCTTAGCCTTTGAAAATGACCCTGATCTTGAGAATAAAATACCTAAATAATTGAAATCTTTTACAGTTTCTAAAACATCGTTGTTGTATTTAAATGTATGTTTGGGTGATGGTCCTTTTGAAAAAATGACAATTTTTGTTTTATTAACATTCACATGGAGTTTCCATGTTTTACAATATGCAGAAATGTTGTAGATCATTTGCAGTCTCAGACAAAATAACATTATCATCAGCATAAAATAATATAAACAGTTTGATAAAAACGGTATGATCATCTTCAATTTCTCTAGACAAATTCTCTAAGCCATTAACATTCCTTTCTGTAAGATAATTTTCTAAGTCATTGATATACAGAGAAAATAAAAAAGGTGATAGATTTTCGCCTTGTCTGAACATAAAAGACTATGGGTTTTTGTGAATTTTCCAGTACTTATATGGTTATTCACTATCTATCTAAACTGTAGTTTTTAAAGTATATTTAATTGCGCTATGTTGAATTTTAATGACCTTTCGTGGATCGTTTAACTGATGTAATTGATTATAAGAGAACCTGGGGGATAAACAATCTTAGTTAAACGTTAGATTTTGGCTTGACGGGTTTTAAAGAAAAAAATAATTTGGTGAGCACACATATATTATGAGACCATAAAACCTTTCTTCCCATCTTCTAAAGTGCAATTCTGAATCTTTGTACTAGTTTGCGCGGGGATCTGGTGTGATATGGTATTAATTTTATATAGAGTAATAACAGTAGAGGTATAATATATGTATATATATATCTCAAAAACTTCAAATATTTTCCCACCTTCCTCTCTCCCCTCCCCCAACTCCTTCCCTCCCATTATAAAAACAACTATAAGTAACTAAAAGGTCTGAGTCACTAAAGTACCCTATTGTTATCATTTGGGGGGGGGGGGGGTACAGAATGACGAGAATATTTTCCTTTCAAGAACTCATACATTCTGAAAGATCTTAATGAAATAGATATGTAATTATAATGATCAATTAAATATTTTTTAACGTTTTTCTAAGCTTAATGTACAAAAGACCGCGATTTGTAACAAAATAAAACAAAGCATGTTTACACTCCTAGCCATAACAAAAGTAAAATGTTAATGGCCTCGAGGCATGATCGCAGATGTACAACATAAAACATCAGGACAAGTCAACAGAAAAATGTGGTCATTTAGACTTACTGATAATAAAAATAAATACTAACAAAGTACTCTTACCTACTAATTCATGACTGAGGGCAAATGTTAACAGCAAAAATATACAGTGTAACATCTTTGCCTGAAAAGTTTCCATTTACCGTTGTCTGTCAACAAGATTTTGTCTCCCACGTTAAGTACCCTACCTTCCGTTAAATGAGTCAGTGGAGGTTTGTATATGTGTAGAATTTGTGGACATCTCTGAAACAGGAAGTTAATCAACCGAGGTTAATCCTCCCTGCATAAAAAAATAAAACATTGATATATAACTAGAGAATAATTTTATTGCTGAAAATGATTTTATTTCCCCTTCTGCATTTAAACATATTAGCAAATTTTATAGCTGTTTAAATTTCTTTCACATGAATTCTTTCATATTTATATTTTTTTCAATCACATTTCGTGACATTAAGGAAGCATGTTCCTTTCTCTTAAAGCCTTGTCTACCACGACTATAAAATCGACTTGTGAATTACCTAGTCTATCGTTAAAATGATAAATCAGGACAATAAAGGTATGTTCCTCAAATATCTAACTGTGTGTCTCTTCGTAATATATCGAACAATACTCATAATTGTCATTCTCTTGTGACTTCTAAATTGTTTTCAAAAGTCTTGAAAAATAAGTACACCAAAAATGGCAATTCAAAAGATTTCTAATAGCATTATACAGAAAACACCATCCTCTAACATCTTGCGCAGACTGGTAAGGTGCCTCATTTATTTGTGTGGAAACTCGTTGAAGTAACAATACTTCAATGACAAACTCTTCGGGAAAAATATATATTACTGAGGAACGTGTCGTCTGACCTTAAGGGCCTTCCCCAAGCCAGAGATATAAATAACATGTAAATAAATAAATAAATATTTATGTCACTGTCCAAGCCAACAATTATTCCAAGTATAAGGTCTTCACGGAATGACATAAAGAAAAATAGGATCGGGCATATAGAAACAAACCTCACATTTAAACAAATGGACTTTTTTAGTTGCTCATTCCATAGTTTTCAGATCTGACAGCGACAGATCTAAACAAGTTTGTAAACTTTTCTGATGCTAACTAGTAACTGAGTACATGTGTACTACAATTTGTTGTAATCTCATACGGTAGAATGTGAAGATATAATGACTTTAAGTCAAAGTGACAAAAATAAATCACACAACACACCTTTCAACATGTTGACCACAAATTTTTATGCCCCCGTATCGAAGATTCGGGGGTATATAGTTTTTGCCCTGTCCGTCCATCTTTCTGTCTGTGTTCGTCCGCAAAAACTTTAACATTGCCCATAACTTTTGATTGGTTGGAGCTATGGCTTTCATATTTCACATGTGTATTTCTTGTGACAAGACCTTTCTTTGGGTACCACCATATTTGACCTTTTGACCTTGACCTTGGAGTTTGACCCAGTTTTGCAAAATTTCCCCCTACTTTAACCTTGGCCATAGCTTTTGAACAATTGGTGTTAAGGCTTTCATACTTCACATGTGTATTCCTGGTGACAAGACCTTTCTTTGGGTACCACCATATTTAACCTTTTGACCTTGGAGTTTGACCTACTTTTAAAAAACATTAACATTGGCCATAACTTTTGAACGGTTAGTGCTAAGGCTTTCATACTTAGCATATGTAATCCTTGTGACAAAACCTTCCTTTGGTTACCAACAAATTTGACCCTTTGACATTGACCTTGGAGTTTGACCTACTTTTGTAAAACGTTAACATTGGCCATAAATTTTGAACAGCTGGTGCTAGGGCTTTCATACTTCACATATGTAATCCTTGTGACAAAACCATCTTTTGGATTCCAACAACTTGGACCCTTTGACCTTGACCTTTGAGTTTGACCTACTTTTGAAAAACTTTAACCTTGGCCATAACTTTTGATTTGCTGATGCTAGGGCTTTCATTAGTCACATATGTAATCCTTGTGACAGGACCTTTCTTTGGATACCAACAACTTTGACCCTTTGACCTTGGAGTTTGACTTACTTTTGGAAAACTTTTACCTTGGCCATAACTTTTGAACCATCGGTGCTAGGACTTTCATACTTCACATATATAATCCTTGTGACAAGACCTTCCTCTGGATACCAACAACTTTGACCCTTTGACCTTGGACTTTGACCTACTTTTCGAAAACTTTGACCATGGACACAACTTTTGAAAAGTTGTTGCTAGGGCTTTAATATTTAACATGATTTTCTTTGTGATAAGACCTTCCTTTGGATACCAACAATTGTAATCCATTGACCTTGACCTTGGAGTTTGACCTACTTTTGAAACACTTTAACCTTGGTCATAACTTTTGAACGATTGGTGCTTCAGTTTTCATATTTCACCTGTATATTTCTTGTGAGAAGGCCTTTCCTTAGGCACCATTAATTTTGACCATTTGACCTTGACCTTGATGTTTGAACTAGTTTTGAAAAAAATTTAACCTTTTCCATATCTATTCAATGGTTGCTGCTAGGGCTTTCATATTTCACAGGTATATTCCTTGAGATATGACCTTACTTTGGGTACCAACATATTTGATTTGCATTTGAGAAAGTTTAACGTTTGCTATAAGTTGCCATAAGGGGGCATCAGTGTTTCACAAACACATCTTGTTTTTTTTAATGATAAAAATTGAGAAAAAAGGTGTTTTAGCTGATACCCCCTTCCTTCTTGTTCTTGAAATTTCTCAGCTGGGTTCAGGGCGGATCCAGGACTTTGTTCCAGGGAGAGTGTGTTCCATATGTCAAACTCAAAAAATTTTTGACAAGCAAAAAAAAAAAAAAAACAAAAAAAACAAACAAACAAACAAACAAACAAAAAACAAAACACGTTAAAATTTGCCAAAACCTAAATACCCCAGGGGGTTAAGAGAAGATGCATTCAATTATGACTCCCTACCATTTTAAGAGGTCTGTGTTTCCTGGTTTCCAAGGTAATTTTTCCCTTACTTTTACATAGAAATTTTAAATCTCTGAAAATTCCATGGAAGTCCGGAACCCCCACCCCACCCCCTCCCGAGCCACCTTTGGTGACAACAACTATGTTAAGGAAAAATCAATAACCTCACATGATTTTTGTTTTGCTTTTATTATCAAAGAATCTAACAATCAAACAAATAATTGGCACAAATACATGCATGTATATCTGGGAAATCAACTCAACATCATTTTCAAAGTTTCACACAATTATACCCGATGACCTTTTTCTTTCTTCTTCACTGACTTTTGTCCTGTATGGTATCATTTGAAATATCCTGCATTTGATTGATGATATCATCACTGTATGACATCTGACATGTTTTCTGTTCTTGACAATTATCATAATAAATTCCAGTCTCTCTCTCCACATCTGGTGATAAGGCCAGATAAAGTATAGTATCAGCTCCCTCTGGTGGTGGCTATCAACAGATAATGTTTACTCTATTACTGACTTTATAAAAAATGCAAAAAAAAACAAAAAACAAAAAACAAAAAAAAAAATGCAGAAATTCTTCTGATGTGGTCTAACAAGAAGATTGTCTAATGAATGGATTTGACATGTTTAAAGCAAAAATACCAAAAGGGAGGAACTATTTAACAAAACCAACAAACAAAATATTTGCACTGACAATTTGAATAAAGAAAAATGCAAAAATACAATCTCTACCTGGAGTTGTCTTTCCTTTTCCTCACATACACCTCTTTTACTGACTTCAGATATTGAGAGATATTTATGTGAGTAAAGAAACAAACACTGGATAGATATTGACATACTTCATCAGAATTCAGACAGTTGTCCTCAGAATATAATCATAAACATGAAGCAGTAAACTGGTAATACTGCTCAGGTCAAAGTGTTCCATTTGCATTCTTAAAAAATGCAATGTCAATTCATTTCAAACAAAAAAAGCGAGAAGATATGCTCCGGACAAAGATTTAAACAGAGAGGCTATTTTTGACCTTGGCTCTTGACCTAAAAACTTTATTCAAGGTCACTGCACATCCATTGACCAGTGGCACTCTGTGAGTGAAGTATGAGTCACATTTGACAAAGAGAGAAGATATGCTCCGGACAATCTAAAGCTTACCAAATAAGTGAACCTAGCAACAATATCCAGAAGCCACTTGATGGACCAGTGGACATGTCTGTAGAGAGCTGTATTAACAATGCCAGGATGCAGGGTGTTGACCGTCACCTTGGAATTTTCTTGTTTTAGTTGTTCACTGAGACCCCAGGAGGAGAGGGCTATGTAAAGCTTGGAATCTGAATAAGCTGCATGAGGTGAATATTCCCACCAATGTGAATACCTACATGGACATTATCACAAACATATATCAAGAAATGTACATTAAGTTCAAATGTACAAAATGTTTTATCAAAGTGATAGTACCTTCTTCCAAAGTTAAGTAGATTTAGTGATCCCACATTATGGACTACTGATGAGAGGTTAATGATACGACTATAGAATTCATCTGTACCAGAATTCTTTAAAATGTCCATTAGAGACTGTGTGAGATATAGGTGTCCTAAATAATTTATTTGGAAATGGCTTTCTAGACTGTCAGTAGTCTCTTCATATGGTGCAAACATTACACCAGCTAGAATGTAAAATAAATCACAATTTCATGTTTCACATTTAAATAATGCAAAGTAAGGAAAATGATCTTGAAAAATTATAGCTTTGCATGAACTTTTTGAGAAAGGGATTTTAAAAACTTTTTCACCATGTATTCTTTTGAAGTAAAATAAACCCTATTTCATGACCCACTCAGACACTGAGGGGCAAGTTTTAAACATCCTTCTTAACAAGTAAAAGTTTGCATATTTAGTGTAATCTTAAGGTTTCAAGATTACATTTGAATCCCCCCCCCCCCTCCACAGGTACATGAAAATGGTCCAATTCCTCATTAGATCAAGGGTCGTATTATAAATAAAGTTGATTCTAGAGTACATATTTTTGTTCATGATTCTTTGGGTTTTTTAAAAAAAAAAATTATATTGACCTAATCCCAATTTCTCTATTTCTTATTTATTATCTTTATTGTGAGCATGGTTGGAACACCTCATTATCAGTTCTCAAAATCTCAAGTTTCATTTTATAGTTGAAATGGGAATCTAGATAATAATTAGAATAAACTAGAAATATGTCCATAGGACATGAATGCCCCGCTGAGGGTATATTAGTAATGCAACATGAAAATTTGTATTATTGTATGAAATTTGATGAGAATATCTTGAATAGTTTCTTTAAAATTGAAATTGAAATCTAAAAATTTTGATATAGATGATAAATTCTCACCAAAATATGCATAAATGCATAAGCTTACATAAATATATCTTAAATGGTTTCTTTAAAATTAAGCAAAATGCAAATTTAAGAAAAGTGAGGTCAAGGTCCCAGAAAAGTTCAAGGTCAAACGTTTTTTGATGCAGTTGAATAGTTCTCATAAATACGTATCAGCATATTAAGTTTGATAAAAATATTTTGAATGGTTTACTTAAAACTGAGCTAAACACTAATTTAAAATAAATGAAGTTAAGGTCAAAGGAAAGGTCAAGGTCAAAAAATGTTGATGCAGTTGAAAAGGTTACATCAGTATGAATTAGCATATGAAGTTTGATAAAAATATTATGAATGGTTTCTTTAAAACTGAGCTAAACACTAATTTAAGAAAAGTGAGGTCAAGGTCAAAGGAAAGGTCAAGGTCAAAAAATATTGATGCAGTTGAATAGCTCTCATCAGTATGTATCAGCATATGAAATTTGACACTAATTTAAGAAAAGTGAGGTCAAGGTCAAAGGAAAGGTCAAGGTCAAAAATTGTTGATGCAGTTGAATAGCTCTCATCAGTATGTATGAACATATGAAGTTTGATCAATCTGACTAAAGCCAGACCTCTATTTACACTATCGCATAGAGGATCTGATAACTCCCCATTACAGGTCATGTTCTGGTGAACTTTGTATTTGCATATTGCATCAGATTGTCAACCAATCAGATAAGCCATTGTAAATGAAGTTCGTTGTGTGAAGAAAAATGGCGAATGTTGATCGAGAAGTGCAAGATATGCGATAGCGTAAATAGAGGTCTGGCTTTAGTCAGATTGAAGTTTGATAACACTCTCTTGAATGGTATCTTTAAAACTGAGCTAAAAACTTATTTAAGAAAAGTGAGGTCAAGGTCAAAGGAAAGGTCAATGTAAAAAATATTGATGCAGTTGAATAGCTCTCATCAGTATGTATCAGCATATGAAGTTTGTTAAAAATATCTTGAATGGTTTCATTAAAACTGAGCTAAACACTAATTTGAGAAAAGTGAGGTCAAGGTCAAAAGAAAGGTCAAGGTCAAAAAATGTTGATGCAGTTGAATAGCTTACATCAGTATGTAGCAACATATGAAGTTTGATTACACTACTCGGTATCTTGAATGGTATCTTTAAAACTGAGCCAAACACTAATTTAAGAAATGTGAGTTCAAGGTCAAAGGAAAGGTCAAGGTCAAAAAATGTTGATGCAGTTGCATAGCTCTCATCAATATCTATCAGCATATGAAGTTTGATAAAAAATATCTTGGATAGTTTCTTTGAAACTGAGCTTTGAACAGAGCTAAACGCAAAGAGTGACGGAAGGACAGACGGAAGACGGACATGACAAACACTATATGCCCCGGCCATATTCATGGCGGGGCATAAAAATTTTACAGTCAGTCAGATACCAGAGCAATTCGATCAAAATAGCTCAATACTTTTTTTGTTGGGGGGGGGGGGGGGGAGTTAAATAAAAAAAAGCCTGTTTTGTTCCTTATCTATACTTACCATTATTCACCAGTATATGGATGCTGGAGCATCTTGCCTTTACATTTTCAACAAAATCCTGTATAGATTTAAAGGAGGCCAGATTTAAATGCATAAAGTCCACTGAAAGAAACACAATAGGAAAGTATATGAGTAAAAAAGCTTTAATTATGAAACAACATTCCTTTGCTGCTACTTTCTTCAATTTATTATTCCAAGAAATATGTAAAATTTTCCTGCAAAAGTGTTCAGTCTCAAGTTGTCTTATCTTTAAAAATGCAGCAGTAATTTTCTGCCATCATGGCCATATCTTTTTTCCCCAATTTTCCCCTCCCTACAAATTTAGTGGTTAGTTGCAAGCTAAGGAAGGTTGGTTTACAGTATATTGCAGGGTATTTTTATGTTCATTGATACACATACTAGTTTGTTGCCAAGTTGGTGTCTTAGCTTTTATTTTTTTTTTCTTTTTTGTAAAACTCGAAAAGATCTAATCAATTTTTTTTTTAATCTCAAAATTGATCTAATAATTTGGCAAATTACATATCAAATTATAAATTTGTATTACAATTAGAAAGAATAACATGAAATCTTACAGGTGAACAATAATCATAGTTGATCACTACATACTAGACATAATCTGTATATTGTATGAATTTAATCTATGATATTGAAATTACTAAATTTTACCTTTAGCATTAGGAAATTCTTCTCTAATTTTCCTGATGGCCTCTTTCCCTTTTTCAGTGTTGTGACCACCTTGAAATGAAATAAAAATAAATTTGCCTGAAGACTTATTATTACAAAAATTTCCTTTAGAAAACTTTAAAATGTACTTGCTTTTACGAATATGCATGACGCTTTTAAAAAATCAATCTTCAACCATCTAATTTTACTGTAAAAATTTAAAAGTATTTTCCAACCCATGATCACATGGATGTTTTTGGACACCAGACCCAGTGAGACATGAAACCCAATACCACTTGTACCACCAGTCACCAGGGCAATTTTTCCAGTTCTCAACTGCAACTCTGAAAGATAAAAAAAAAAAAGCAATGTGGGTATACAGTTGTACACATAAATGCATATCTTAAAGCAATGTAGGTACACAGTCTTACACTAAATGTATATTTTATCTCAAAATATTTGAACTTTTTATTTAAAAAATGGCACACTCACTATCATAACCTGAAACACAAACATAGTCTAATTTGTGGCTAAACATTATATCAGAATGAAAGCCGTTTTATTTATTTTTTGACAAACAACATCACCAAATATATAATTTTGCTTAAAAAGTACAAAGGATATTGTTAATAAGTTTATTAGCTCACAAAGAAAAGGAAAAAAGAACTATATACTACTGAGATATAGTAGAGGGAGGATAAAAGGAAAGTGAATGCAATGTTCGAATTTCCTCCATTTGTATAAACACTTCAACCTTTACTCCTGTTATCTTTTCTTTATCATGTAAGTAAATACCTGGAATTTTATGTCTCTGTAGTAACTGACGCACCAATGCCAGAAAACCGAAAATGTAAACCTTTAAAAAGGACCAAAAGATGTAACAAATTCCAATTACTATGGACAGCGCCATTTTGAAAATCTGGTATAGAGAATCCAATACGGTCAAAATTATATATTCGGATTACCTTACGTGGAATGGCAAGAAAATTAAAACGAGGAAGCAAGCACAATAAGATTCTCCGAGGCATTTGAAAACTTTTTGATGTAACTATTTATAAATGTTTTTATGCCCCCGTATCTAAGATTCGAGGGTATATAGTTTTTGCCCTATCCGTCCGCCTGTCCGTCTGTTTGTCCACAAAAACTGTAACATTGCCCATAACTTTTGATTGGTTGGTGCTATGGCTTTCTTGTTACACATGTCTATTCCTTGTGACAAGATCTTTCTTTGAGTACCATCATATTTGACCTTAACCTTGATTAGTTAGTGTCATGGCTTTCAAATGGAGAACTTGTGAAAATGGATTAACAGTATTTAAAGGTCAGTTTTCTTGTGACAATTGTGTGTATTTATGTTAAAATTGATAATATAACACGTCTATTACGTACATTCAGACGTATTTTAGACGAAATGTCAGTTGAAGTGTAGACCGTCACCGGTTCGAGATTTACACGTTTTCCAGAATCAAAACATGAAGGCTTGCGAAGAGAAGTGGATGTAGGCGAAAGCCTGTCCACTTCTCTAAAGAGAATAACTTGTGACAAGACCTTCCCTTGGGCACCATTTGACCTTGAACTTGATGTTTTACTGACTTTTGAAAAACTTTAACTTTCGCCATAACTTTTCAACGGTTGATGTTAGGGCTTTCATATTTCACAAGTATATTCCTCGAGACAAGACCTTTCTTTGGGTACCAACATTTTTTATCTTTTGACCTGGAGTTTGACTTGCTTTTGAGAAATTTTAACCTTCGCCATAACCTGCCATACGGAGGCATCAGTGTTCCACAAACACATCTTGTCAAACGATAGCAGAGAAATTTGCCAAGTGTGAGATTTTCCGATACATGTATATACAGATGATTTTTGATAGCTGGCAAACATACCGAACTCGATCCTAGAAATATTCGATATTGATGAAGATTATATTTACACGGTTTATGTTCTCATACTCTCTTGTGCTTCACTTTGACATGACTTTCAAGTTTCAACCTATACATTTTTACGGTATTTGGCGTTGTACAATTATTTAACCTGTCAACATTTCTCCCGAAAGTCTTAAAGATATTTTTTTAAAGATATTCTGTGTCGTCATGGGATGCAGAGTAAAGACGTACACATCAGAAAATGACCCAATTACAAGTGGATCCAAAAATGTATGTAAGCTTTAGTACGAATGTCTTAGCTTGAGGGTATTTATGATTATCTCACTGATAGTCCTCTGTACAGAAAAGAACTTCCAAAGCCTAAATCAGAATACGACTTTTCTCTTTCACCAATTAAGTCGTTGATGTTGGTGGACAGGTAATACTGTACTTACATTATATATAGTCATAGGGAGTACATATGCATACATAATAAATTACATATACAATACAGGCCCGTGGCAACTTTTTGAAGGATGAGGTGGGGTAACCTCCCAAAAACAAGCAACAACAACAAATATATATATATATATATACTGCCCAAACTCGAAAATCCTATTTCGTGAGGGAGGCGGTGTGTTTTGGGGGTTGGACCTTTCTCTAGATTACTTTTCGGTACATTTTTTAAAAACTGAAATTTGACTGTGTTCCACCGTACCGTAACTAAAAGGTTGGGGGCAGCTTCAAAATGACAATTTACATAGTAAAACTACATCAAAAAGACTATTCTAAAAAAAGTGCTTGCTTCCCCCGGACACCCCCCCCCCCCAATTTCGCGTACTACCGGCTTGCAATAGGTACATGTAAATTTTAGACAAAAAATTCTCCAGAAGTACTTCTTTGCTTAATAATAACTCTAATAAATCACGTAATTTATTGAGTAGGGAAAATATATAACGTGAACTGTCTGCATGGAAACAATTTTTCTTGACACACAATTATACATACTTACGAGCTTGACTTTCACAGTTTATTGCTCTCAATCTCACCCTATTTCATCAAAATTTGAAAAGGATAACGATTGGGAAGAAGTGTGAGGGGTCAATGACCATCAGTGCAAACAGAAAAGCATTTTCCCATCTTACGTGGACAGAGATTATCAACGGAATAAAAAAAATTAAGCACGTAAATTCGATAGTTCCCAGTTTACCAGTTTATCAGTATCTCTTTGGTTGTTATTTAATAACATAGAGAACAAAGCAACATATTACAATTATAACAACATACATCCTGACACGCTATAGTGCAAGAAACAGTACTATTCTTCGTGCATTCAATGTCAATTTGACAAAATTTGTTTTAAAAAAAAATAATTGAAAATAATGGCCTTGACCCATAAATTAAAAGAGGGACAGTATACCTTATTTTAACCCCCCCCCCCCCCCCCCATCATGTAAGTAACGAAGATGGCGCTCCATGCATTCCAGTGAGAAATATTTTATAACAAAAAAATATAAAAATTTAACAAGGTGATCTTAGGTTTTAGCAAATACCATAAAAATAAATATCAATGTGTACACACAGGTTATGCGCTATCCACATTAGTATTAGCTTGATGATACCAAGGCCATCGAAATTTTTTTTTTTTAGTACACAATATTATTCTATTCGGTAAGGAGGGGAGGTAAATGGGGGAGGGGGGCTAAAATGGCAATAGAAAAGACAAAATTTCAAATGTTGTGAACTTATAGATTTCTTCGGCGGTGCATTCAGATGATTTGTTAAATAGATAAAAATTAAAGGCTGCTAGGTACGTGTTCAGGACATCAACAAATAATCTAGACATACAATATTGAAGGGAAAAATATATATTTTAGTATTTTCTTATTGCTGCAGTTGTTTTTAGACTCCGGAATTAAAGTTACATTTTACCTTGATACGCTAACAATTAACTTCTGCACGGGAATAGGCATTATTAAATTAAAATTAAGTTAAATATTTTTGCATATTTATTCATTATAGATAATTCTAGATAGAAATGACGATACCAAGGCCTTGGGAATGGGGATGCGTTGGGTGCGGTCGCACCCCTTGAAAAATCTCTTTCTAAACAGAATAAATTCATTTTTTTTTTCTTTAAAGAAATGCTTTTAGATTTTGTTCATTTTTATGTTAAAAATGACTTGAAGAAAGGTTCAGAACTTACTAATATGATACCCTTTTCTATAAATTTTCTGGTTCAGAGGGTGATTGCCCACCCCAGATCCTCCCTTACACCCCCTGTCCAGAAACCGACGGCCCGGTGTCCCCTTTACAAAAGAACTTACGACTAAGACCCAAAACTTCAATTGCTTCATAAAATTATCTTTCTTTAGTTGATTGTAAAATCTTACTCGATAAAAAAATTCCTTTAAAGATTGCTTGCATAAATATTCTAAATTCTTAAAAAAAAAAAGATTAAAACCATTTTCAAATTAATGCAAGTTTGAAAGTTATTCACAAAATTACATTTAAGCCCCGGATATGTGCTTTTTATGCACATTTCAAACCTTTGCGAGGTGTCGAAAGTCGTTTTTCTAAGTTGCCTCTCTTCTCTTTTATTATCAATATTAATGAATGTGATTTTTTTTCTTTATAAAAGGTTAGTTTTAGGTTTTATTTTGGATTCTTTGTAAATTTTTTATATATAGAAAATATTTCAATTAAAAAGTCGGAGAACCCTTGGGAATACTGGAGGGGGTGGATGGGTGGGTATCCCTCCCCAAGCACCTTTGACACGAAGACATTCTTCATTCATTGATAACGACTGCATGGTGCCATTTAAAAAAAAAACTCCTTTATATCTGGAATGTCATACTAAAGTGTATGTAAAAATTGTAATAAGATGCTTTTTTATCTTTGTGATGTATGCAATCTTTCGTTCATGGTCCGCCGCTCAATAGTTAAAAGATACACATGATATTACATGATGTGTTTGTTTTATACTTCTTAGACTTGATAACAACGAGGAAGTAAAACATTTTAAGGTTATAAGATAACAGTTTTGTTGGACTTCGTGTCTTTGGTGTGTCATTTAAAATTAGGTGTTGCTGTATTCACAATAAAAATGTAGTCATTAGAAAGACATTTTCTTATGAATTTCTTTAGACTTTTTTGTCCGATTATCTTCTCACTGCATCTAATACTCAGCGGTACTCAAACGCAATTCAAATGTAAATATGCTTGGGGAAGACACTTGTAAGTGAATATAGTCTTGTAAGTGAATACAGTATATTCATCTCTGGTGACAAAGTACATACGTCTGTTTGAAGGTGACCTTAACAGGAGGTATGTTGGTATATTTCGGTGTTGGAATGTCGGATAACAGAGACCTTGGCGAGAGTTCGTGGCAATTGAGTCTAACTTATTGCCTTCATTAATGGAGGTTATATTTTCACCCGTGTTTATCTGTCCCTGTGTCTGTCTGCAAGATTCTAGAAAATTGAAACACTATTTGATATGAAATTGCGGATGGGGGTGTGCATTTGCAAACTTTTTTTGTTGGAGGCGGTTAAAAATATGGAAGCTGATTGTACCTTATACTAATAGTTACCGCTAGAGTAGGTACAAAGGGGAAAATATTTAGAAGATATATGACATATAATGTTGTTTCCTTTTGGGGCAATGGATGGCACACTCAAGCCCCAGCTGGGTTCGATTGCATGTGCGTTCTTGGAGCGCCCACTGTTCACACACCGTTCTTTAATACATGTATACAACTCAACAACAGAGATATATTTTCAAGAAGGAACTACCAAACTTGATCAAAATAGTAAACTTAATTTAACATTCGATAAGGGAAGGGTATAATGTAAAGCAAATCTTGTAATCTGGTTTCTTTGCCAAGGATCAGCAATTAAGTGCAGCTCTACTTCGAGATCGAATAGGATTAGTGTCTTCACTCCAAGGAAAAGAATGTGGGAGAATAAACGTACATTTAAACTATATGTCTTATTAGAATGTGCAACATGCAATTTAAGATTACTATTTCATATTATTCTCAAAGAAAAATGTATCGTTTATAACCTTTTTTTGTAAACACACCATTTTATAAGAAACAACAAGATAATAATTTCTATTTTTATAGATATACATGTATTTCCATCATTAAAAAAGCCCTATCCCTGATAAAAAAAAAAAGTGAAGCGACATGAGTCATTGGCCATTTATAATGGTTAAATATAAAAATATTTGTCCTTATGATTAGGACTGTTCAAGTCTGAATTTTAAATAAAAGTAACATGCACAAGATTTTATCTTGTTACAGCCAAAGGCATGAATACTTTACACGAATATTGACATCGTTTGCTTCAGCGATTTCTCCCCTTTTATAGACAAGACTGGAGAGAAAATTCCTGAGTTTGAATGGCACCTATTGTTGTAGCAATGAATTGCAGTTGTAACTTGATCCTACACTTTAAAATTAAGGTGATCTGAACAGGTCACAGTGTCAATAGCAAACAACAAACACATTGTTGTACATTGTAAGCAAACCAGGTGCGTCACCTCATATATATATGGACAGCTTACAGTTCAGGGGGTACTCGGTCATGCTGACTGAATCATTCAATGTGACACAAACTTCGTATTAGATTCCAAATTATCAGACTGACAGTATAATAAAAAGAAACAACTTAAATAATTCGAATAAATACTGGATGCTTTCATGAATAAATGGCAAGTAGTATACTCTCATTGAAACTTAGTTTTAAAAAGTTGAACACAAATTACATGTACATGTTTTCTCTTGGGAGAAAAAAAGTCATGATCAAGCTTCGAAATCCTTTCCAAACTCATCGGCAAGTTCGTCCGGGGGTCTTAATTCCACCTGAAAATTGTGAGCTTTTCCTTGTGTAGCCAATTTGTGTTTGTATACGTTAAATGAAACTCCTAAGGCCAGGGCCATTCGTCGACAATTTGCTGTTGAATCGCACATATAAGCGTGACATTCCATTTCTTTGGTTCTTGAAGATAATTGATTCACCACAATAAAAGTAAACACTTTCCAGTATTTGAGGTCTTGGACACCGTAGGAAATAAAGTCGATTGGTATGAGTCCATAATTGACCTTGTCCTTGACAGTGTTGGCCTTGTGCTCCCTGATGTCAATTCCTCGACCGGAAATGACCACATAAGTTAGAGGCAACTCCACTTTCTCGTTTGCCAACAAACTGTCTTTAACCACTTTCACGAGTTCATCTACCGGTTTCCGCACATGATGAAGTCCAAATAAGCCTTTCACTTCTTTCTTTCCAAGATATTTCGCTACGAAAATCTGTGGTAACTTGTCTACACGTATAGTGAGAAACTTAGAATCAGGAACCGTTACAGGCTTGCTTTTAGGAGCTTTGTCAAACTTTGTAAGTTTTCGAAGCTTAGATAACACAGATCCCCCTTTCTTCTTGTCCCTCTCTGACGATTCGCGTTTCGAGACGCTCTTTTCTGACGTTTTAATGTCCTGGGATACATCCTGACCGCTGCCTGTACTCCCTTTGTCACCGGTAACCTCTGAGGCGGAGGAATTTGCCCCGAGAGACTGGGTTTCTGATCCCTCTTCTTCTTGTTCCTCCTCAGCTCTCGTCACATCTGACATTTCTAAATCAGCATCGATCTTAATATCATCTAATCGATCTAACACCTCAGAAAAATCCGACTTCAGTTTTTCCTCTATTACACTTTCTTCCCTTTTATTTCGATCCTCCATACCACTTTCAAGATCCGACATTTTGAATTCCAGTACTTGTAAGTGTCAAAATATTATACCACACACTTCCTACACACCTGGTAATGAGTGACACTATAATCCATTCATTTCAGGTAAATGTATTGGACCTGAACGATTTAAGTCGGACCTAAAAGATATGACTCTTATCACAACTCATTCCTTATTCATAGTAAAAATACAAAGGTATTCGTTCTAAAGTCAACTACGTGTACACAAATACGCCTTATGGGCGAAGAGGATTGCGATATTTAAAAGCAGAATAAAATTCTCCCTTGCCATTGAATGCAAACAAAAGCAGAACTATTGATTGATCTGCTACGTCATATAACAACAGCATGTGTAATTTAAATGAAGTGGGAAAATGTTTGTCTTACATTATATTACGATATCTTACGTAACTGTCTGATAAAATCTCATTAAGGCAAAGTTGGGTATTATTTGATTAAATTAGGTAAAGCAGGCAGATACTCGTCCCCACCATGCAAATACCGTGCCCTGACCCTCTGTTAATACTGGTATAGGAATGTTAAAGTATAAACATAAATGAAATTTTCGTGAGTTATTTTAATTCTTAAAAAAAGATTATTGTAAACAATAAATAAATAAATAAATAAATAAATAAATAAATAAAAAACGTTTAAGATCTCATTCTCTTGAAGTGGAAGATACATATATTCCTGGAAATGATGTGGTTGTTTCCTCTCATTTTAGAATAGTAAAATACATGTAATGGAATTTTTAAGGAACTTGTGAACAAATTCACGGACATTTATAAATACTCTGACAAATATCCTTCCTTGTTTGGGAAAGATCAGCATGTAGGGTGAGAAAAAATATAGCAGCCGCAATATACTTAATTTATAATTTTACTTAGTGCATGGATCTAATTCAGATCCCCGGCCACTCCCAATACCCCCTCCCCCCTTAAAAAAAGGAAATATAGATACTTTGAGCAGTGAGGTCACAAAATGATATCCTCGCTTTCATATGAGTGTAATGATAAAGTCCATGTTTTGCAATGGGAAAGACCAATTAAGTAGTAAATTATGTAAATTCAAAAACATTAGTAAATTTTAAAAAATCGTTCATGTGAATGATGTGTTGTAAATATTTAAAAAAATCACTAAAATCTATCTTGGACTCCCTTTTCCACAGAGAAATACAGCCATTGACAAGCAATTTCAGGGGTAGACAAATAGAATTTTTCAGTACTTGCCATCGGACAGGTTACCATCGTAAAATTACTTGTCCTACCAAAAATATGCTTGTCCCACCTTTATTTAATTAACACTAAATTAAAGCATTATCCTTAATATTAAATATGTCTCAATTGATACACTTCATAGGGACCAAACTAGACCCAAAATTACTTAATTCTTCCACAGAAAATTTTAGGGGTAAATCTTGTTCCAAGGAGATTTCCTAGCTTTTGAAGTGCACATATCTAATAATTATATACATGTATATAATTTAAACATTTCTCTGTATTATCTTTAACATCCCCAAAATATTCAAAGAGAAAAAAAAAATGACGACGTCAAATCATTTGATGATTTCCAATTGCAAAGCATATGAATATCAAGCATTAGAATTAATGTGCACATTGTCAACTTACAATTTCTAAACTGTAAAAGTAGTAAAATGTTACATTTAATATTCAGATTTCTTTCCATATTTTCAGGGTATTAGTAAAGTCAAAGTTTCATTCTATTTTCTTCAAAATTCTTTGATGAGGTATTCCCTATTTTTTTTTATGTAAAAATAATGTGTATTCATATAACTGAAAGCAAAAAATATTATACAGTATTTGATTATGAAAACCACCACTGCATGCCGATCGGAACTTTCTGTGATCGCCAGTCAACGGCTCCAATTTTAATATCAGTATAAAATGTTTGTATTCACGGCATGAATTTTACATTTTGACAATACCTATAAAGGTCTAAAATCCTCTTCAACTTTTTTGACATGGAATCGATAGCTGCTATGTTTTACGTCTTGTGTATATTTTAACTATACACATGAATGTTGAAATTCTTGAGTAGTTCCGACCGAGTATTCGATGTTGTGGTCAACAGCAGCGAAAATAGGTGCTCTACTGTGATTCATTACATTTCAACAGCGGTAAAAAAAACAACATTTGATTTTTTTTTTTGTTAACTGGAGAAGCACTTGTCCGTGGGCAGGTACCACATAACAAATGACTTGCCCGCCAAACAAAATTGGTTGTCCCAGGCGTCGGGCAATGCTATTTGTCTAGCCCTGAATTTAACAATTTACAAGTGAATTCACAAGTCTCTACTTATATGAAGAAAAAAAAAATGAAAAAGTGGTTGGTTGCTAAACGTCCCTTCGAGAATTCTTCACTCATATCGAGACGCTACCGCTGGAGGGCTGCAAATTTTACAAAATTAAAATTGCCAACACAAAATCTTTCTTTATACAAAAACATTAATTTACATTTGTTACATTCTACCTTAATATTTTGATTTATCACAATACTGGATTCTGATAAAGGAAAGTTATAGTTAACAAAGCCGTAACTAGGCTCAAATTTTTAGTGAGGCAAGGATTCTGCAGCTGGGGGCCACCCGAATCAAAAGCGGGTCGAGGGTAGTGCCCTGATGGAGGTTCTCCGGGGGGGGGGGTCTCAAAACCTGGGGCCCGTTTTACAAAAGAACTTACGACTAAGACCAAAAACTTTAGTTGATTGTAAAATTTTGCAAAATAAATTATTCTGTTTACAATTGCTAGCGTAAAAGTATCTTTCTACATACTTGTTAAAATAATTAAAACCATTTTCTATTTAATGTAAATTAGAGAGTTATTAGCAGAATTAAATTTTGGTCTTAGTCGTAAGTTCTTTTGTAGAACGGGCCCCAGGCTGGGTTTTAATACATTAAAGACTTAATCTTTGAATTTTTTTTTTTTTTTTTTTTTTTTTTTTTATACATATTTTGAATTATTTTTTAAAAAGCTTTCTAAACTATAATGAAGCACCTGCATGGTGAGATGATCGATTTTCAGAATTTGAAACTAAAGTTGAAAGTGTTATAATGAATTTAGTACAAAGACGCAATAATTTCAGATCAAAGTAAAACTTTTTTCAATTTTCAGAAAACTCTAAAATTTTAGTGAGGCATTTGCCTCACTTATCTCAATGGTAGTTACGGCCTTGATTAATATGATAATTCTATGTCGAAACAGGATATTTGAAGTTCTCCATTTATAAAATTACGAAGCACTCTGTGGACGACTTAATTTATCTAGTGTACATCCGGGCATTTTAGAAAAAATTGTCAGCCATTTTTGAGAAAATAAACAGAGGGCATACTTTATCTAACATATTGCTTTGTGTAAGGAAAAAAGAAATAACAAAAGAAAATAGCTTGTTTTTGAAAAAAATGTGATAAAATATTCAAATTGATTGTATTCAGCTGCAAAAAAATAACGATTGTAACCGAAGGAAATGTACTGTGTGAAATCAAAAATGTAGAAGAATGTTTTGGATTCACGTGTTTACAACTGTATTCGTTATCCTCCAGCATTTAACGGGTAAGAAATGACTAATAGTATATTTTCAAAGTAATGTTGTTTATGACATTTTAGATATGGAATGCTGTTTTGGAATATCGTCGAAAAATTTTCAGTGTATAATTATGATATTTCAGTTTACCTATGCACTAGTTTTTAGAGACACTTGTATGTAGAATTAAGTTGTATGTCTTGTCAATTTTCAGTTGGGTGCAAGTTCTGATATATTAAATGTTTTTCATTCGAGGATAGTTTAGTAGAAAGAATTCCTAGTTTGGCACAAATCATGTTAAGTTCTGTGGTTGACAAATATATACAGTTTCCAAGCCCGTTGGAGTTCTTCCACCATATTATCTGATACACATCGACTTTGCTTCAGTTTAAACACAAGTCTGTATAGTACATGTAAATATTCTGATTTGATCTGATGTTATTGTTTATATAGGGAGCTGGTCAACAGAGGCTGCGTTGGCTGTTCACAAAACCCGGCTGTGTATGGTGTTGGATCCAGATTGTAAGGAAAATGGAGGGAACAGTTGCCAAAGACATGAGAGGTGTGATGATGAAAGTCAATACTGCTTCACTGCTTGGAGTCCCAGCAATACTTCAACTAATGGTAAGTCTAGATGATATTAGATAGAATGTTCTAATTGTTAAAATGATAATGTCCTACAGACCTGGTTTAATGATAGAATGTGTTCCGTGTACAGGCAGTGTAGCAATACTAATATGGGGAGAACTCTAACACAGTGCATTGTTTACTGTGAACAATCCAGAGAGTGTGGAATGTCAACATGGCATGTAAATTTGAAGCTAGTGAAAAGGATTGAAAAAAAGTGTTGAATTCTTCCATTATATGGATTAATATTATTAGTGAAAGGTATCCACAATAACAGAAAGGTTTGTTATGATTAAATTGAAATTAATTTTTAATGCAACTTCAGTAATTTTCTCCGAATCGTTTTGGAGCGATTCTGCAATTTTCTGCTACATTGCGAGTATATGGGAGGCTTCTAACTGTGGTGAGGGCCTGTCCCGAGACACAGTTAGATATTCTAATTAGGGTGATATATACAAGCTCTCATTACTTCTACATCCCACAATGCATTGAGAATATTTCCAAGTGAAAATTTCTTGTGTGCAGGATTGGATTTTTTTTGGCTCAAATTTCATATACAGGTACAGAATATTAGTTGAAAAGTGTTGTATGATTGTAATTAAAGGTTACCTTTTCTTGATAATATGAATGTGCTTCTGTACACAAGAAATAATTTAGTAAGGAAATTTCAATATAGGGAAAAATATATGTTAAATATGCTATAAAGTTGGTGTTCTTAATTATGCTCATATTTTTAGTGTTATTTATTCAAAAGATTTCAATTTTATGTGTCTGAAGTTGATTTAAAAAAAATGAATTCTTTTCTTATTTGTAAGCCTTACCCACAGCCTAGGAGTAGTATGATTAATTAGATAAATACAGTTTGTTCACTATTTTAGGAATTAAACTAATGCACCAAGGATGCTGGACTCAGAACCAGGGCTGTGAGAATGACAGTTGTGTACAGTCCAGTGAACACCAGACACACAGTGTGGGCTTTTGTTGTTGTCGCACAGACCTATGTAATTACAACATCAGTATGGCAGGAAGCTCTCCGGCCTCAATAACTGAGAAAGGTTGGTAATTTATGGATCCCTGAGTGTGTGACATAGTACCTTGCTAATTATTTCAAATGTGGAAGGTGCATATATTAAATTTGAGTGTTTTTGTCATTCTGCTATATCAACTTGTTAATGACAGGAATTAACACAATTAATTTTGCTTGAGCACTTCCAAAGAGTTGACTAAGTTGGATTGCCTGAAACCAAGGAAATCAAAGGGAAAATAGATAAAAAGAGTCTAAAGAGTTCTACTAATTGATATAAACTAATAAGTTCAGAGAAAGTTGACTTGAATGATGACTACAACCATTCTCTAAAGATACTTCAAAAAACACATAATTTTGCAATTATGGGGCTTGTTTGTTGCCATGGCAACCATGACATCATTTTTCGATGCATAATTAAAAACTTTAAGATTTTACTTTTCAGAAAATATATAGGTTGCTTTATGTAAAAGTTACCAGAAAATGTCCAAATTTCTATTTGATTTTTTTTAGTTAGTTTTGCAGAAACAATGCAAAATCTCTAGTTAATTCTTTGTACATAAAATCCAACATGAAATTTTGAAAAGTGTAATTCATATCATTTACATGAGAACACCATATTTAACATGCTCAATGGTTATAACCCATTTTACAACATTATCATTAGGGATGCAAGATCTCATTGGTATACTGGTATATCAGAATTTTTTTTTTTTTTTGCAAAATGTGTCATGATGCAGAGACTGAAATACCAGTGTTATGTATGTAATTATAAATTCGGAAATAATAATTCTTTTATTGACACTTTTGAATTACAATTACATTACTGGAATTTTAAGATATGTTGTAAAATAGTAAAACAATGGCATCCTAGCAGCTGAAAATGTTTTATCAATATATAAATAAAAATTTGAAAAGTGCAGTTATGTTTTTACAATACATGTATTAGAAAAATTATGGAAAATCATTTAAAATCATATTAAAAATTATGTTTAAAAGTATCATGATGTTATCGGGCTATTTTGAAAAAATGATGATCTATCGTGATACAAATTTTTGGTGATACCCATCCCTAATTTTCATATAGATTGAAATCATAGGAGCTTTATATGTCTAACCCTAAACAACAAAGTGGCAAGTAATGGAGTCAAAGTGTGTCTCATGTGCATTGCGAAGTGCCTCAATTATTTTGAAACAGTTATTCATTAGAAGATTTATATATTTGTATTCAGTTTGGTATGAAATTTTTAGTCCCTGAACATGTCCATAACCTGTTAGAGCAGCTAGTGTGTTCTGGATTCTACTTGCCTGAAAGCGTATTTTTACTTGTCTCTGGCAATCTGATGACAGATACATGAAGAAGATTTCATATAATAAAAAACCTTGAATGTTGTCTGTAAAATTTTTAACACAATGTAATTATAGTGTGGAATTTTTGAACATCTGTTAGATGTTATAATGTATTTAAGAGTAAAATAGTCCTATGTATTAGCATATAATCTTAACCTTAACTTTTCTTGAGCTAACTGCATCTTCAAACAGTTCAAAGGTGTAAATGTTGTTATGATCACCATTAGGCTTTCATTATTACAGATAAGTGTTAACCAATGGAAAATTCTTGCATGATCAGTGTATGGTTCTTCCTTGTATATGAAAGGGCAAAGTCCTGTACAAAATTTAGAAACCAATGAAAGTCGATGTTGTTCACGAAGAATTTAAAAAAGTAAATGAAATGGTATTTGATGCCCACATGACTATAGATTTTTTGATGTTCATTTCATATATAATTTATCCATGTGATTGATTAATTAACTAAATTTGTTTTCTTTCTGTAGATACAACCACTAAAATCAACGCTAATGGAAAAGCCAACAAAGTGATGAAGATCATGATGTATTCATTGGTGCCCATCATAGTACTAGTAATACTCATCGTCATGGTCTTTGTCATGTGGCGCTGTTATTACAACCGAAACATGTAGGTGGATCTAATCTTTCTGCATTTTCACTATAGATTTAGTGTGAAATGGAATGTTTTTACACTGAATGGGCCATACATTTAGTAATTGAATATGCATTACAATAAATAGGAAGAGGTCATCTAGTACATCCATCAAAACTGAAATTTGTCCCTTGGGTGCAGAGTTTATGCCATAGGAGTGGTTATGATTATCTTTACTTAGCACTTAGCTGTACACCATAGTTATAGTTTAATTTTCATGAGTCCTCTACCAAAATTGTGAGATAAATATATATATACCCTGGGTGTAGATTAAAGAATACAGGTCACAGAGTAGGGCTATGCATATATTTGTATCATTAAAGAATATATACAACAAGAACCAGTAGTCATGAACATTTTGTCTCGTTTTTAAATACCAAATTATTATCTTGTGAAACAAGGTGAGATGAAAATTTAATGTGAAATCTACAGTATTTTCTTATCTTAATATATACATGTATTCAGTGATGGAGCGGCTTCACCACTATATGATGGTTTAAAAGCACACCTTGTTTAACACACTAAGATTGTCACTGAACAAGATTTTTTAACTTATGGAATTTTTTAAAGAATTAAATATTAATATGTAGCCATGGTTATGTAAGTTACATATACTAGTGCATATGTACTTGTATGTTAAAAACACATACAAGTGAAGAAGTTAAGCTTAGATACATGTGTATATTCTGGATTGTTTAATAATTTTTAAGTGAAGAAAATTCTGTTAAACATTACAAGTTCTGATGTTTTTTGTTTTCAGGTACACTTCTCACCTACAACTGCCAGCCAGTGACCCTGAGATGGGGACTCAAGAGTTTAATCAGCCTCACCGTCCCATCCAGTTGTTGGAGCTTAGGGCTCATGGAAGGTAAGAGATGTAACACAGGCCACCAAATTAGATTCTGTAGAATTTTTGACTTTAAAGTGAGTAAGGCTTTGTAATACATGTATGTAAATTTATTTAATTTTTTACTAGGTTTGGTGAAGTTTGGAAAGCCAACATGCTGAATTCAGTTGTTGCTGTAAAAATCATGCCATTCAAGGAAAAAGCATCTTGGTTGGCAGAGCAGGAAATCTACAACTTACCACATATGAGGCATGACAACATCTTGCTGTTTGTTGGTGGGGAAAAACATGAGGAAAATCTTTGGCTTATTACCGAATTCCATGAGAAAGGTTCACTTTGTGACTTTTTGAAGGGCAACACAGTTACTTGGAGTCAGTTGTGTAAAATCTCTGAATCCATGGTTAGGGGTAAGTCACTTTTTGATAAAATTAATTCATGTAAAATCACATATTTTTGTGGGGTCAAATTTTCTTGGTTTGAGGGAAAATATTAGTTCGTGTTATTTGATTTCATGGTTAAAGAAGAGTTGAGTTGTTATGTATACAGAATTTTACATTTTGTGGAGGACATGAATTCTGGAGTCTCTTCATACCTCAAAAACAATGAAAATTAAACTCCCACGAAAATTAGTGATTTCTTAGTAAATGATATGACTTTTGACATAGTCACATAGATGATATTTTACATTTAAACATTTATGATTTGTGATATGATTTTTGACTTAGATGATATTTTACATTAAACATTTATCTGCTGAATTGTAGGTTTAGCCTACCTGCATGATGATGTTTCACTAACCAGATGCCAGTCTAAACCAGCTGTGGCACATCGAGATTTCAAAAGTAAAAATGTATTGCTGAAGGAAGATCTGACTGCTTGTATTGCTGACTTTGGACTGGCATTGAAATTTGAGCCTGGTAAAAGCCCTGGAGAGACACATGGCTTGGTAATTAGATATCTGTATACATGTACATATATACATGAAAATGAAGTGCTTATTAGGTCCTAAGATCTTAGTCAATTTTGAAGTATTTCAAATATTGTCCAGCCTGGGTTAACACATGTGAAATTTAGTCCCTTTTAAGCATATCAGGCAGGTTATTGAAATGCACTATTTCATTAAAATATTTCTGATAAATGATTTTAGGTTGGAACGCGGCGATACATGGCACCTGAAATATTAGAGGGTGCGATCAGTTTTAGGAAGGATGCTTTTCTGCGGATTGACATGTATGCCTGCGGACTGGTCCTCTGGGAGCTCCTGACTCGTAATTCGTGTTCTGATCAACCGTCTGATGAATATCAGTTACCATTTGAAGAGGAAGCAGGATCCCACCCAACACTAGAGGATATGCAGGAACTTGTAGTGATGAAAAAACTAAGGCCAACTATAAAGAATCATTGGCTTCAACATCCGGTAATTTTTATCATAAATTCAGATTTGCTTTGATTGTGGCCCCTTGGGGCTGGAATGAGGCCAGAAAAGGGGTTAAGATATTTTAGAGTGGAATAATATAGAATCAGGTCTTTGATATCAGAAGAATAGTGCTGCAAGTTGTACTTGATGGTACACATATTAAAAAAATCATCCTGGAGTGTAAACTCAAATTTACCGGGTAAATAACTCTTGGGGCAGGCCTTGGGATAAGATATAGGACCATTATATGGGAAAAATATTGTAAAAGGCTTTTTGAGAGTAACAAAGCCATAAATTATAAAGAGTAAAGAGGTTCATAACTGGGCTATTAGGGCTTAGGTTGGTTACAATGTTGAATCTTTGAAAAAATTTAAAGAGGATGTGTTTCAGAAAAGTTGCTTCACAATTGCATTTAAAAAAGAAATTTGTTAAAAAAGTTTCACATTGTCAGAAATTTGAGAAGATTATTTGTTGTTACTGGTACTAATATTTGCTTAATGATTTGTCTTATTGTCACAAATTGTTTTGATTGTTAGCATAGTTTATTGGTTATTGTTACTATTTATGTTTTATACAGGGCTTAGAGCAGATTGCAGCCACCATAGAGGAATGCTGGGACCAGGATGCAGAGGCTCGAGTGTCAGCCATCTGTGTCAAGGAGCGTTTGAGTCAGTTAAGTCGTACACTAAATGTGTCCACCTCTAGCCACAACCTGAGCATCTCGCCCAATCAGAACATATACTACCACATTTCCTCCGTGTCAACCTAGTAACCACAAAACAGATCCCACAAGCATACCTCATACATGGGCAATTAGTTCTGATAACACGACTTGTGTGAAGAAGACTGCCGCTAACTCAGGAGATACAATTACATGTGGAAAACATATTTATAGATCTTTAATTAGGGAGAATGTATGTTGTCTACCAGGCCATTTCTCTTCATGCTGGACAAATTAGGAGAGGCAGAGATGTGTTTATTGCTACATGACCTATTACAGTAGTGTACAGATATTAATAGCTATTCATTCTTGATATACATCTTTCATATGGAATTTGTTTGGTCATTTTCATATTTACTTATATCCCAATGTCATAGTGCTAATTTTCAAATATGTAAATGTATTAAAGGCTGTGAGACAGTTATGATTTTTTTAGCTAGGTTTTATATGTCAGTTTTACGTGTTAAAAGTTGTGGAAGATATTTCCCCAAGCATTTGATATAACTTGATGATAATGTTTGACACTTAAAAAAAAACATATTGAGAAAGATTTTTATTGATTTTATATTGTACTTAATATATTGTGAATGGATTTTCACACATTAAGGGACGGCAGTTGGATTGTATGTTGCCGAGATGTAGACTGAACGATAAAGGAGTTCTTAATTTTTTTGAGAGAAACATTTACTGATCATGTACATGTATATGTAAAACTAGTTGTTGTTTCCCATGGCATTATATGTGTCCTCTTGTTACGAGTGATAATGTTATCTTTATACCTGGTTGTTAGGGGAGACAATCCACCTGACCATGCCTTGTTTCCTCTGGTACATTTTCAGATGATATTACATATGTATGTACCGGTGATTGTTCTAACCTTGTTGTGCGGGTTTTATCAATGTATAATATATTTCTGTCATGTATTATTGACACAGTGTAATCTGTATACCATACCATTGTATTCTCATTAGATGCAAGTATTGCAAGCCTGTTATTCTCATCATGTCCTAGCGTAGTTATAATTACATCATTAATTACCTTTAAACTACTGCTAAATTTGATAACCTTTTGTACAAATATTTTATTTCTCTTTAAGTTTACTTATAAATCAAACTCCTATAACTAGCTTTAAAATGAATTGATTTGTGAAATGGTTTGTTTCCATACTTTACACATTCTGATTTCTGAAGTTTGATTTGATAAAAAATACCAGTGTGCAGTCCTTTTCCCTAGTATTATTATGTTAGTGTAGTACCATGCAGTAGTAGTTTTTGTTTACTTAGTTCCCATTTTTTGATTTTTAACTGTACATAAAACTCATTCTCTTGGTATATGTATATTTATTGTATTTGTTTTCTTAACTGGTTTATGACCTGGAGTTGATTAAATGAAAGGTGTATTTTCATTTCAAAGATGACACTATTTTAAATAGGTTGTTTATAAGTACTAAAAATTTAAAGAAAATTTGATAGTGTGGCATAGTTTACTCCATTGAATTGCCATTTGATGTCCTTCTGTATACTTACATGAAACGTTCCATAAATCGTGTTAATTTTATACAATTGTAGCTAACAATGGTAAGTCTAACAGCTTCAAAATACCAATCATGAGTCTCAAGCAAACTTGCTTTACAAGAGAATTGTTTAAGTAACTTATCAATGTAAACTACCTTTTATTTTAATGGAATATTCTACCTTAATAAACCTTTTTTTTTTTGAATTTTTAAAATACATGTCAACCCACTTTTAAAATGTGTGGTTTGTGAAACAGTATTGTATTAATAGGTTTGCATTTAATTTTATCACTTTTACAGATTCAAAAAAAAAAAGTCTGTTGTTTAAGTCCATTACATAATGATTATATGTGATTATTTTCAATAAAATGGCATATTACAAACATACCATGATGTTCACTTGATCAATGTAAATTAACTTTGATGACAGTTGTGTAGTCAGGAAGTGCTTCAAAAAATAAATTTAAGTAGACTTTTTAATTAAAAACAGACATCATGCAGAATATGAAATCTGTCTGGTACATTGGAACTACTAAGTAGGGATGTCAACAAATACTCAAATACATTTACATGTATTTATTCAATGAGTTGATATTGGGATTCAAATAGAGTCAAACCTGGTTATCTCAAACTCCATGGGATCAAGAAAAAACTTCGAGATATTCAAGGATTCAAGGATAAAGTACTTGAAGAATATGTGATTGGGACTTCCAAAACACTTCGGCATATACCGGTACATGGTATTCGAGATGTCGGTGTTCGAGGTACCAAACTTCAACTGTATTTGTTTTTCCCCCCAGAATACACTATACAAGAGGTCATGGGCTCAACTGAGTTAATTTGGTCCTGCAGTTCTTCATCAGCAGATTTTTTTTCCAATATATTCTCATGTAAAACTTATATCTTTTATTGTGGCCCCATCCTACCCCCAGGGGCCATGATTTGAAGAAATAGAGGATATTCAATGTTTTGTAGATGAATATGGAATTTATATCAAGAGGAGGACAGGATTTTTTGATATTTTCATGGGTGCAAAGCACGAGAGAAAATATAGAAAAATCCTGTCTTAATAAATTCCATATTCATCTTAAAACATTGAATTTGTTGTTTATTATTTCCCTTTGCCTAAGTCTTTTTGTAAAACAGTGTCATAGGCTGTGATGTCATAGTGAAGCAGTTGAGACGTCATAGCTAAGGCAATTGAGAGATTGAAAAAACATAAACATGGATTTTTATCAACATATTTGGAGAAACTTTAGCAGTTTTAGTCTCTGTCAGGATGATTCAATTACTTTCTCTATCTTATGACAGACAAGGGAGTTTTTTAAAAAAAAAAAAAAAAAAACGCTCTTCCTGAAGGGAAGGAAAATCGAGAGATTTGCCGCACTTCTGATATTCTCACACTATGAGAATACCATTTTGATACCCTTTCACACTGTTTCAGAATATCACTTTTATTCAATAAATAAGTTACAGTATTTCACTGTTGAAAATGTAATAAACTTGAATCTTCACTACCTGAGGATGCTTCCATATTTTAAATATGACATCATGGCTTTGCTGTTCTTGAGAAAAATTTTAAAATTGTTTTCATATGTATTCCTATGTAAAACTTTGATTTCCTATTGTGGCCACGCCACATCAACAGCAACAAACTCAAATCTACAATATCTGAGGATGCTTATATATTCATATGACTAATCAGGACTTTTCTGTTCTTGAGAAGAAGATTTTTAATGATTTTTTCCTTTATATTACAATTTGAACCTTTGATCATCACCTTTTGCACCCCACCTAACTTGCAGGGGTCATGATTTGAACAAACTTGAATCTAAGCTAGTAATGAGGCTTTCACATACATGACGTTTCATCTTTCCAGGGGTTCTTGAGAAGAATTGAGAGATGCAATTAAATTTTCACTAATTCTTAATTATGTCCCCAAGAAAGAGGGCTTTTCCCTTCATTTGAACAAACTTGAATTCCCTTCACTTAGGATGCTTTGTGGTAAGTTTGACTGAAATCAGCTCAGTGGTTCTGGAGAAATCAAAAATGTGAGACGTTTACAGACAACACACAACAGACAGACAGAGGGATGCTGGACACTTTTCCATCAAAAAAGCTCACTTGAGCCTTTGGCTCAAGTAAGCAACCGATAAAAAGATAACTTTTGATGAATTTAATTGGAACGGTGCCTGAATTTCCCCGTTCTATTTAATAGCAGTCAATTTTGATCATTAGATTTCTTTCAAGTCTTTCTGAATATGAATCTACAGAACTATTTCAATTTGAAGTGTGTATTCTAGAAGAATAATTTGGTCCCTGAAATTAAGTGTTCTAGATACTGAAAGAGGGAGAGTATGGTATTCAGTGATGTGTAAACACAGTGTTGTGTCTAGGGAGGTGAGTTGTTTCTTGGTAGAAATTCTCCTCTTGTAATAGGATCAGATCTACATGTAAAATCTAGGACAAAAAATGAAATCTTTGGACTATCTTAAAGATTTAAATAATGTACTTCAATCTGAAAATAAATTTCAACGATCATTGAACTATGTTTAATAGTATCAGTGAATGTCTGTATTGTTGTAAATGGCTCAATTTCAGAATACAGTTGAACTTCGGTATCTCGAACACCATGGATATGTCGAAGAAATTCTGAAGCCCCAACCACATATTTTTTAAGTATTTTATCCCTCACATCTCGAATACTAGGATATCTCGAAGTATTTTCTCAGTCCCATTGAGTTCGAGATAATGAGGTTTGACTGTATTTCAGAAAAATTGCATAAATTACTGAATTCCTTTAATTGTAGATGTATTTGAAATAAATCAAAACTTATTTCTTATATTAAATATATTTGAATACTGAGTACTCTTACTGAATATTCCAATAATGATAAACTATTGGCAAATTTGACATCCTAAGCCAGTAAGGTACATATCATCCTTGCAGTTCTGATCAATAGAATGCATACAGTAAGGTGAAAATAAATCTGCTCCAAAACCTTTAACGTGGGGACTCCTGCATTAAACATGTGCACCCCCCTTCCCTTTCGACTAAAAATAAAATATTTAGCTTTCATGCATCAACATGAGATGTCCTTGATCTATATTAATCTCAATATACAGTAAATCAGAAACCAGGGGACACCCACCAGGTCATCAATGGTAAAACAAGCAGGTGTAATAAGTTGGAAACCAAAGAAAGTGGCAATTTATCCCAAACAACAACAAAAATTAGTTTGACTTGATGTTTTTTTAATAATAAATAGTCATATGCATTTATCACATAAATGAGACAGGTCAGTAAATATATCCAATGCAGATATATCTTCATACAGTAATTATAAAATTAAAATAACATGTACAAATAAATGACTGTTAGTGGATTTCTTTAACATATTTTCTCCACATAACTTGCTATCAAATAAAATTGTCCAACAATTGTATTAAAAATGTAGGCCTACAAACAAAATTAATTATTGATGACCATTTGCAAAAATGCATAGAAAAATACAAAATTTGCTATATGTTACAAAATATTCATGTTATGTTAAGAAATGAAAAATATTAAACCTCACACTTGCTGCACAACAATATGACAACTTCAATTTGTGTATTATTCTCTAAATCAATAACAAATATATCTTATATACTGATACAACAAACAAATTTCTGCTCAATATATGTACATGTATCATGAACTGAATATGACATACATATTATTATAAATGTTATGAACAATTTTTTGTCTTCACTTTTTTGGAAATACCTTTAATTTTTTTTTTTCATTTTTTAAAAAAAGATGTACATTCATTTACATCTATGTTACAGTCCCATACATGTATCATAAACTGAATATGACATACATGGTATTATAAATGTGATGAACAATTTTTTGTCTTCACTTTTTTCTTGCTTTTTTTGGAAATCAACTTTAATTTTTTTTTTCATTTTTTTTTAATAGTTGTACATTCATTTACTGCTACATGTATGTTACAGTCCTTAACACATAAATAGTAAAACCATTGATTTCATTAAATTAGTTACTGAATACTCAAGATGATTTTTTTCCCAAATTACTTTTTCTCAGCCAGTTTGTTAATCAAGGCTGCTTTCATATCTTTAGCCAGCTGCTCTAGTTGTTCAATTTTCAGCCGCATCTTCTGGTTTTCTTGCACAAGCCTTTCTGCCTCGCTTTCCATTTCTACAAACTTCATTTTACGGATGTAACGTGATCTTTTGGAGGCAATGTTGTTTTTAACGCGTCTCTCGACATATTTCTTATCTGGAGAAGTGGCCTTATCTTCATCCATTTCATCAAACTGGTCAATAGTTACCGTAGACATCCGAGGTTTTTTGGTGATATAATCATGATCGAGACCTGCAGCCGCAAGGCCCTCTTCCTCTTCTGTCATGGTACGTTTACGTTTTTTGCCACATTCCACCGTGATGACTTTCTCAGTCTCCGGAACAACCATTTCCTCCTCCAACTTTTGAGCAGTAAACTCGACAACCGGACTTGGCTCTGGTTCAGCAAAATTTATAACTGGTTTAGTGAGAGCCAACTCTGGCTTGTCTTCATTTTCCTGAAAGTAATCAGTCAAGAAATTTAGTACAAATACAGGCAAAATAATCAATCTGGACAGAAATTATGGTAAAGCACTGAAGGGTTGAAATGCTTAATTCAATGCTCAAGTACCTGCACATCAGTGAAGTTTGAAAGGTCCATAAAACTGTTGAGAAAGTCATCTCCTGGGAATGTGGAACCCATAGCTTCTAGGAAGTCCTCCACTTCACCCCCCTCCATTCCCAAATTACTCTTTTCTGATATCAGAAATTCTTTATCCAAGATAGAGTCCATTTTGTTGCCGGCAAAGTCATCCATGATGCCAGCATATTCTGCAAAATATAAATGAAACTGTCAAAAACAAATTATAAGTCAGAAACCTGTTCAGTTCACAGTAACATAATGACACAAGATTATGACCTATGAATAGAAGATTGCAATACAACTCACCGTTGTCAAATAGGCCATTTACTTTCTGGTCCAATCGTAGTGAAATGTTGGATGTCGTGGTTGATGTCGGTTCCATACCCAAGTCCACACTCTGTGCCGGGTAGGTCCAGCCATTCAACCAGCTCGTCCAAGGATCGGGGGACGATTGCGCCCTCGCCATAGTCCTGAGCGATGAGTCCACTGTCGCCTTCGTACATATTTCGTTATTTGATTCAGAAGTTTCAGTCCGTAATTGACGGATTTTGTCGAATGTGCGTCGTACCTTTTGGATACGGATCGCAACCTCTTTTTGCTTAGCTGTCTTCTCCTTCGGAGCTCGCTGTCGCTCGACTTGTACGCCGGACTCGGCCGGGATTACTGAAATCAAATACAATAAAAATTTTATCACACTCCACTTTTGTTGATTTCTTCGTATTTTGTACAGTTTGTGATACATCTTGTTGTGTTTTGATGACCTATTTCATAGATCTACAATACTATACTCTAGCTATACTCATCAGATAAAACTTTACCTGGTTAATGGCTATGTCCTGTTTCTCTTCCTACATTCGTTCTACTGCTGGAAAATTGCACCGGCAACCGCCTATATGGTGTAATCTCTATCTCTAAAATTAGAAAGTGACACACTCTATCTAGGCCATGTCATCCAATCAGGGGTTGAGAAAATAACAGGGTTTTCTAAAAATACTGTTAACGTTTATTGATGTAATATCCGGTACGTTCGGATATTCTCTGTAATATGATTTAAAATTAATGTAAATTCTAAGGAAGCACCGAATATCTTGCTGTTGCATTAAATTCGTTTACAAATAGTATTTATCTCTCGTTCATAAAATTAGACAATTACAGACTAAAATGTTTTCATCAGTATTAATAAAATTCACTTTTGAAAACCAAGTTTTTGTATTTACCTATCAAAATACATTTGACGTATATTTCTGTATCTAGAGTTTAGGTGATCGTTTACATTTGCAACCTTGAAAACGCAATGTAAAAATAACAGCTCAGATACCATGGGGAGTGACTAATCTTTATTTATAACAAAAGTAAGTGAACCGTGTGATGGTGCAATACCCCCAAACTGGTGAGAAACGCTGAGCATGCATAATTTGAAAATAAAATCAAAAATCATATCATTATGGTGTCCAGAGAAACAGTCACACGAATAGTGATACTATTTATTATAGATCTTTTAAGTATATAATGATATACATACATGTGTACACATAGCTGCATGTAACGTATAATACCATATATGCTTGCACGTGCACAGGACTATGATAATTTTTCAATATATTTATTTAGAAATATATTTAACAAAATTTATAAGTTTTAAATATTCTTGAAAATAGAAGGGAAAAGGGGGGGGGGTTCGGCATTTATAAATAGCTAGCTACGCTAAATGTGTTCTTGTTATTGCATCATGCAGTCTAGCTTTATCTATGCAAACGGTGGCTTCCAGGCCAAGGCCGAAGAAATTGATCTACATATCGAATATCTCTAAAGCTAATAGAAGGTTCAGGATACGCTACGTACCTTACCTACAGATATATAATTTTTCAAGATATTCTTAATTTAAGATTATAGTGCAATCAAATGTATCAGCATACATTACCAGGGGTTTTGAAAAGATATCAATTCATGAAAATGTTTGTATAATTCAAAGAAAAATATACAAAAAATACTAAACGTACACTTATATTCTAGATGTTTTGTTTATCCATACTTGTTTTAGAAGAAATGTACATTAGCATATAGTATGTAGATATGAAAATGTAGCACGCAGTTCATTTAAGTATTGAAACTGTTCAACTCCAGGGAAAAAGACAATGAAGTTCAAATGATAGGGACACATATTACATTTAAATTTTTTTTCCTGATGAAATTACAAAATGTATATAAATAACTGATGATTATGGATTATTAATTAACTATTTGGAAATTAGAATTACAGAATATATTAAAGCCCAAACAGACAATTATGAAACTATTCACAAGTAAGAGGATTATTAGATCCTAGTCTCGTTGAATAGACATTTGTTGCACGTAATGAAAAAATTGTGCTTTACACAGTGTAATCCCCTTTCAAGCAAGGAATAAGCTTCACAATATTTCACTAGGTTCATTCATTTGACTTTTTTAAAAAAAAAAAAAAAGGCATTTAATAATCTATTAGTTTCTCAAGACTACATACATATGAAAGAATTCAAGTCAGAGACATAAATAACATTATTGATGTCTTTAATTCCGCCGTCCGCTTCTCCTAAAGTTTGCTCTGATTTCAATTAAACTTGGTTAAACTTCTACAAGTTGACTGTATCAAAGCTCTTTATTCTCTTTATCTATATATTCAAAATTTGGATGAGGGGTGTTGTCATGGCTACTAAAAAGATAATAATCTGTGAAAATCTCTCAAAATCTATACTCCTCCTACAGTTTTGGTTGAACATTTCAATATATAAGAAAACATCTGGATACATATATTTCTGTATAGGATATAAAAAGGTAATCATTTTCATTTTTTTAAAAATTCAATTTAATAATTGTATACAGATACAGTGCTTGAAAAGATCCGATTTTGATTTTGTGGATACTTTTTTCTTGTTTTGGGAGGTGAGGGAAATTAAAAGGGGATTGCATCCCTATAACCCCAAGAGAATGAGCTTTAATTCCCCTACTTTTTGATCTGTAATTTTGTTAACAAGTACCCGTGTAAGTGCATTAAAATAAAAAGTTTTCCTAAAGGGCACGTCTCCTAAGGAAGCTCTAAACACTGTTGCTAAAGAGGCAATCGCATCTCGGGTCTTTCCGCCAGAGGTCGGAAAAACAACTGTTTTTCCGCTTGTCGGAAAGGCCCGAGAAGTTTCGATTGCCATCTTTAAAGAGTGCTAATAAAGTTTTAATTTATGCAGTTGGAGTGATCTGCCCTTTCGTGTATGAACTGAAATCTAAAGTACATAACACAATTTGAAATAGATTAAATTATTTTTAACAATATAATATGTTGACGGTGCGACCGTTGGGGCGAGCGCAGTGTTCACTTCATTATTATGATCCGCCTCTTCAAACCGCACATTTGGAACGTCTAGACTGTGACGTCACATGACGTCGTATGTTAGCTGCATTTCCATAAACAAAGTTTAAAAAGTGCAAATATTTTAAAAAAGAACGTTTAATCTACTATCTGCATGCAATATCCATTAAATTAAGGTGAGTTTATTTTGTGTGAATTTTTAGTTGTTGTCACCGCGTGAACGAAGTTAGCAGCGAGAACAAGAAGCGATGCATTGTGGGTCAGAATTACTGCGGAAAAAAATTCTGTTGAATGAATGTGCAGTAGTCCGAATTTTCTCTTCGCCCAGGCGTTGTCGTTAGAGCTCGCAGTGCGCTCGCTATTATATGAAGATAAAATAATTGAAAACTTTTATGCATGTATTTTCACAATTTAAGTAAACTACATGTATTTACTGCTACTTCATTGTCTTTTAACTCAATTAAGTTTTTTTTCCTGGAGAAATATGGCATGTACCGTATGTTGAAAACGAACAGATAGACTCTATATGTACACCTTTAAATGATAAATTGTACAATTTTCCCAAATTAAAAAAAAAATCATTAGTGTGTAGAGCTTCCTTAAATCAACTTTCAGAGGAAACTCCATATTTAATTTTGACCAGAATGAAAAACAACACGAGTCTCCTTATATCTGACCTATTCAAGATTAGACTTTCAGATATTAATTATAATTACACACTAATCATTGAAAACGCAGAACATTACTTCTTGTATTGTAAAGAAGATACCATAAGTATTTACAAAGTAACATTGAATCTTGAAACGAATCATTTTGGGGGAACTATCAAAACTATCAAGAGGACATCAAAATAATATACTCGTATAGATAGATCTAAATATGTATTGTTAAAGAAGTCCGTAAATATGTAAAACAAATTTGAAACTAAGCGTAATCATTCGACAATTTTGCACCTTTTCCCCTGCCCATCCTATTAATATTTAATGATTTTTTTTTTTTTTTCACTATAATTTAAATGAATTAGTTTGTTTTTATACATTTCCTGTCTTTATATGTGTGTATTTTCTCTGTGTTAAACAAGAATCTGTTAGAATTACTTGTGTCCAATCCCATTGATGATGTTCCTTAAAATAATAAGTTTAAATACAAATGCAATTTTCAATTTCAATTTCTTCATTGCAGAAGACCTACGTCTTAAAGCAGTATTACAAGCCGATTATAACAAAAGAGACGACAATGGGTCTATATATGTAATTGTAGTGGTTAAATGTTTTACATTTAGATGTATAGTTAGAAGTTTTTATACGGTTTAAAAGATTTTAAAAAAAAATACAGAGATAATTAATCTGTCCGCAGGATAAAAGTATGCCATTGAGTTAATTAACTGAAAGGAGTGAAAGTTCACTACATGCAGAGCTCTACCATTCAGCCACCATTCCAAACCTTCGGTTTCATCCTGTGGTCTTATAGTTAGATTTTCCACAGCTGTACAAAATTTCTTTAATTAGTCAACGGGTTATATTTCGCAGAGTTTTTAAAAACATCTTTTTAACAATTGATAAACTTTTTTTTTTTATGATTTTCAGCATATCACATGCATTTCATGAAGCTGAGAAGAATAATTCTTTCAAATAGCATATTCCTCCCTCATCCCCCCCCCACACATTACATATGATCCCCACTTTAGGCATCATAGCAATATGCAAATAAATCAATAAGATAATCAAATGATCATCAGTTAAAATGAAACCTCCTGCCCCTGTTAATGTGCTGTTCGCGTGCTGAGGGTGTGTTTGATTTAGCGACATCTGGTGTCTTGAGCGGTGTGTTCCCCGAACGTCTTCTCGCCAAAACCACCATCTAGTCACCAAGCTCAATTAAGGGGCCCTTTAAGGGGAACAGATAGACTTTACCAGTATGAATAAACTACCTGCTTCTATTTTTTTTTTTTAAATGTGTTTAAACAGAAAAAGAAAACTATATATCATGTCATATACATGTATAACGAAAAATAATTTTAAATTAATTTTTAGTTTGCATGATAAAACTCATATCTTCAAACAATTCATATTTTGGTAAAACAAAAAATTACAAAGAAGCATAAGATAAATAATTCGAAAAGAAATCATTTTGCTATGAATTTTGAATATATTAACTAACAACGTAAATTATGATTAATTGGTTATAATGAGACTGATTAAATGAGTTCACTCATCGTCGACGATGGAGTTCACTTTGAAATTTAGATTTAAAAAAGGAGGGAGAAGACTCCAACTGCTTCAAGGACGACTCCAAAACGGGAACAGCGGCCTCATGACCTACACAGACTCCTCATCAGAGTTATTGCACCTGGGATAGTGATAGTGCAAAAAATTAAAAAAAAAACTGCTGATGACATGAAAGAGAAAGTGCCCTAAATGTGAAAAAAAAAAAAAAATGAAATGTGCTAATGTGTATTCCAGTCGTGAAAAACAAAGTTCTCCAAATTTAATATGTATAAAATACTGAGTAGTGCTTAACATGTGACGTAAATAAAGATTGATGCTTCAAGTGTATGTAAAAAAAGTAATGTTTGAAAATTATAAACACGCTACTACTTTATATATATTGCGCAATAATTTT